CCTCATGTTGTGTCGGAAAAAAATAAATTAAAAGAACTGAAAGAAGAACAAAGAACTGAAATAAACAGCCCGCGTAGAGGTTGAGAGTGCTGGGCTGAATCTAGTCAAAGATACATAATTTTTGTCCCCACCCCCACACAACACACCCATTGACACTTCCGCCCCCCCTCCCATTCATTTGTCCCGAGCATGAAAAAATGGGAAGTGTGTTTCACAATTAAAATCATGATTTACTCTGCATTTCACATGTGCAAAAATTAATGGCATCAAATTAGTTCAAAAACATTTTGAATYAATTAACACTGGTCGATCAAACAAACACCGACGCGATACAAGATAACAAACAGCAGTTGAAATCACCAAAAACTATAAAATATATATTCTTTATTTTGGTATCTTTCTTGCGTTGCCTCGGTGCTTTAAGTTTGCGTTTCTTTTTTGTTCATCAGTTGCACCAGTGAGGAAAGCCGGAAATACTCAAYGATTGAAACGTCGGGTTAATGTCGTTAGAGACTGGGATCGACAAGGGCATGGCCGGACATGCTGTCCATGTTTCAGTGCAGTGGGGTCGGCAATTTTACTTTGTTTTAAATTGAATTTATGATGAATTGGTTTTGGAGAAGTATATGTGTAGRTTCAGCTCGAAGTATGTTTTTACTAAGCCGACTACAATAGAAATTAATACATCTAATCAGTTTCATTATAATGGTTGTCAGCTATGAATGAAGGCCGATGGGAACGATGACGTCAATGGTAGCCAACAYTGAGCCAATCAAAATACAGAATTATTGCCGCATTGTTACATCGTTATCATCACCATCATTTGCATTGCATTGATCATCATCATCACGAGTATATTAAAAAAATCGTTTTAATTCAATGATTAATCGAAACTTATCCACCAATCAAACAGCATACGAGGCTGCTTGACACATGAATGYCTGCTATGATATTGTTTCTCTGTACGTTGTTTACGACAGTGTTAACCTCTATTGATCTCCATTGTAACGTGCGCTAACCGATTGTCCTGCATGCCAATCATTCACATGTTACAAAGGAATGTAGATTTTGTATTCTTACATAGTTGAACGGCCACCCAACTGTGTGCCATCCATCATCTTCTCTAGGACTCCAGACGAGCTCGAAAGACCCTGGAAAACAACCATGTATGCTAGAATTGCTTTTCTAGTGTTATTCGCCTTGTGTTGTGTCCAAGGAGGAAGGAARAACAAAGGAAAACACAGAGCAAAAGCATATCGTCGATTTCCCAGTAAGTCTCAAACACATGTTTTTGTATGGTGATGGTTTTGAACGGACATTCTTGCATGGTATTATGCAAACAATGTTTAACTTAGCAATGTCTATTTATTCCATTATTATAGCCTTAAACACTCTAGAATGCAACGTCTTAATGCTGAATCATGATGTTAGGTATTGTGCATTTCATGTTAGCGCGCAGGATAAAYAGCACTGTTTTCTATCAAAATAAGTAGAATGAGATCATTCATAGCTGGTTTCTTATATAGCACTTAAAATCTAAGATTTGACCTCGATAACAAAGATGTTATCTCTCAAACATGTAGRGATAAATTCAAGTGAATCGAGAGGCAGCGACAACATATTTTGAAGTATTTCAGGATGTTAGTAAGTTARTGCGTCTGCWATCAGAGCATTAACGCCTTGTCCTGGCAACACAAACACCTTTTTGATGATATTCTATARTATCTTAGAGAGCGTTGATTGAACAGCCTACTGGGGTCACGCTAYATAACTCACGCTTGATTAATAAAATCATTTAATCATGCTAATAGTCTTAGAATTTATTACTAAATAAAATGCCAGTCGTAGATACTGTATTCCTTTTAAAGTTCTATCATTTTAAGAACTTTTGATTAACAAATGTGAAAGAATCACTTTAACTTGTAACCTTTCAACGAGCTGTACGAACCTGAATCAACATMAGCCTGGTAAGGGTTCAACGTTCTGTTTAAACGCGTATCTCCGAGATTAATGTATTGTTCTGCCTCGTGCCGATATCAGTAGATGGTTGTAATTAGACTAATTCAACTTCCTACAGGTCAAAGACATGACTTAGTCTATGAAAACAGTACTCAGAAGATTTTTGAATAACATGTTATGCGCACAATATTAATAACAGCACAAACCTATTTATGGACAGATTGATATTGGATAATACTGTATCTAAACAAACAATTTACTTTTAATTGGGCAATTTCTTCAAAATCCTGTTAAATCTTGATACTAAAACCAATAGATGAAAGATAAGGGTGTTTCTGATAAGCAATTRTTATGGGATATTAGTTTCTATCGCGCCGTTGCCAGCTACAATCCGTTAGCTTCATTAGATTATCGCTCGAGGCGACCAACGARCCCTATCGTACACATGTCTATAAATATAATTAACGACTTGCCGCCGACTTAACTCTTTTGGAAAAAWTTCAAGTTTCGGCATCTGACTTTCGTCATTTCTATCAGATTCATAAACGCTGCTGGTTTGCTTTAAGAACTTTGTTCTTTTGTAAGATTGTTTTGACTTTAGTTGTCAAGAAAACGTCTAAATTTGTTCAAGTCAACATCAAATCGAAAGACAACGAACAGTACTGTTTTTGACTTTTAGACCTTTAGATCATTGACATAATCGACAATTAATGGTATTTGCTTTTTGTCTGCCAGACTGTTTTGATGTTTACAAACCAGTGATTGAAGAGTTATTTTATAGAACTCTAAACCCGTGAAACAAAATCAATTAGTCAACACGTGGAAGCCAGAAAAAGCTGTTCAGGTTTTGCGGTCTAAAAAATCCACTTATACACTGAGTCAAGGTGTGTCAGTATATTTCACGGCTTTACGCAAACACTATGCATTTCAAGGTTTTTTCACCTATCCATTTCATTCGTCTTCTTGGCATTTCAAGCAGTCTAGAACCACTGAAGTAGTTTGACCTCATCAAAAAATGACCGGTGACAGAAGTATATTACATCTTCTACATGAACCAACGACCTTTGGATGAAAATATTCACATAAAATTCCCTCAGTTATAGTCGATGGTTCTATATATTTCAAATAGCTTGGACGACAATTAAAACAATAGATTTTCAATTGGTGGTCGAGTTGAAATAACAAAATATAAACATGAAAACCTGGAATAGAATTGTTAATTTATAATGGAATCACTTGGGTGTGAACGAGTCACCGACAGTATTCATATTTCATTGTTGGGCTCAAGATCTTTACTCAAGCATGTGCAAAAAATCGTAAAATAGTTTGGGTCAAATAAAGCTACGCACTTTCTTTCTTTCGTTTGCTCTTTCATTCATTTCAGTCTTCCTTCTTCCTTCTATTCTTTCGTCCGTCCATTCGTTCTTTCATTCTTGTTACTTCTTTATCAGTTATTGGTCTGGTTGGCTCAGAAGTTCGTAATTAAATAAGTAAAATTTTAGGCTTTGTTTCACGGGTTTGCGATTCTTAATATAGCCATCGGCGCGCCCAACAAACTTTAGCTTTAATCAATTACAGAAACTCGTTGATACTTAATTACTACTAATGAGTTTAGGCGATTAAACGTTCTTAATGGCATACCGATCAACAGTTCGAAACAGCAAGTCTAGCCACCTTGACAATAGAAGTCAATCTATAGTAATTGGTTTAATCCTCAGGTTATTGCATCCCTTTCATGTCTATCAATCAAGACAGATTGTTATTTTACATATTTACAGATGCCAAGAATATCAATACGTGAAAGACAATGATGACTAATAACACGTCTTCTTTTTTTATTTTAGAACCTGAACGGTGGATGCTCTACTCGTCCGAATATGACCCCGTCGTGGAAGGTAACCAAGCGAGCACTTGATGATGTCGATGATGAAGATACTTATAAATGATGATGCAATCAACGTCACTCATGATGTCACCCTTGATGACGTCACTGATGATGTCACTCATGATGACATCACTGATGATGTCATTCTTGATGACGTCACTGATGATGTCACCCATGATGACATCACTGATGATGTCATCCTTGATTACGTCACTGATGATGTCACCCATATATCATCACATAGTAATGACGACCACTGCATTAAAGCTGTCTTTCATGTTTAGAGAATGGCTGTTTCGACCTGTACGGTCCGAGATGTGTGCTCTATGCAAATAATCCCGGCTACTGCCATTACAACGAAGAATTCATGAAAAAATTCTGCAAAAAGTCCTGCAAATGGTGCAGTAAGTAGAGATACAATGACTTGTTGATTAGTTTTCTTAAATGCTGTTTTCTTTAATGTTTTTTCTTCATTGACAGAGGACATGGGAGACAGGGATCCCATCATGGGACGCATACAGTCTCTAAGTATGACCATGGAGTTCTGATATTTGACAGGTTGWTCATTACAATAATGCATGTTTTATTTTACCAGCTAACGGCGGAGGACTCAAAAATGAGAAATTAATACAAGGTTTTCTCAACGGAGGTAAACAGGCAAGAAAACAAGCAAAAATCACAACACAACACAACACATTATTTTACCAGCTAACGGCGGAGGACTCAAAAATGAGAAATTAATACAAGGTTTTCTCAACGGAGGTAAACAGGCAAGAAA